ACATGTCTTAAAGTTTTTAAACATCACTAGACGCACATATCCATGATGTCATGCTGTGCCTTTAGCTGTGACAGCCTAAAAGAAAGAACTGCCAAACATCTGGAATCTAAAAGCATTTCTTCTGCCTCTGTACTTGTAAATGTGAAACCTTTAGACCTTTAGAAGAAGTTAATTTGACATTTTTCACTGTGAGCTTTGCCGGCTAACTTGATGTTACTGCCACCACAGCATTTTATATCCTAAACATTGGGAGAAAAATAACTCAGCACCAGCTGCGTGTGGGGAAACAATCAGCGAAAGACGGTCTGAGGAAAGGTCAGGAGGACAGGGGCAACAGAAAAGGTGACCAATAAACTGCACAACACTTCACTACATGCAGCAGCAGAGCTAAGAGATGAAGGTTGTGAAAAGAAATGTATCCCCAGCTGAATGCATAGTGAATTTAGGTTTGCTATATATATACACTGACACTGCAGACGTTTGATCCGATTAATGGATGTCCAATTTTCCCCAAGCAACGCGCCATATCTCATTTTAAATTTGGCACACCATAAATCAGACAAACAGGATGACTGCACCGTGATTGGATAGAAAACAAATGCTAGCTGTACCCAGCTGCCAGCTCCAGATCTCTGCCAATACGTCTCTCACGGTCATGTACGCTGCAGCTGAAGACGAGATGAGGCTGTCTGCAGCGCTACAGGCAGACAGGCTTGACTGAGACGCATTCATGTGCCTAACAGGAGACGTGTTTGTTTACAAAGCCTCCATCTATGACCGAAGACTTGTGACAGTCACCGGCTCTTTGCCCACAGACTCGGGAATATTCAGAAAACCTGAAACCGATTTGTTTCCATGTCCAGAGGGCGGCAACGCAAATTTGCTGATTAAGATTAGGAGAAATCTTTATTAGTCCCACATGTGGGAAATTTTTTAGAGTTAAGTTAAAGGTTAAGAGAAATAAAGAGGAAGTTTAGTTTTCTGATCAAGGTACTAAGTTTAGTTCAGACCTCTAGGAGGCTGAAACGTGATGCTTGTTTACATGAATCAATAATATAAAAAGTATCGAACATTTGAGGTGTGGATTCATCGCATTTATCAAAGGAAATCGCTCTCATCTATAAGAACTTTTTCTTGCCATCTGTAGCCTGTGTTCATGCTGAAGGTAGCGTTTGATGATTATGAAGCTGTTACTGGTGGCACTGAAAGCACAGCGGGAAGTCGGCACCGGGAAGACTCGACGGCTCGACTGTTTCACTCACATTTACAACAAAAACAGACGTGCATGGACTGCACAATGCATTTAGAGTATATGAGAACAGAAAGCATTGACAAAAACTGATGAAACGCACACACACACACACACACACACAGTAATGATGCAGTCCATCAAGTCCAAACACCCAGGGGGAGATAAAGGAACGCCAGCGCGTGTCACTGTAGTCACAATCCAAACCTCTGTGGGTAAAAAGCCAAAAGAAGTCATTTATCAAACTCATCCGCTGACCCTTTGTTTCAGACTAGCACAAAGCTGGAGAATGAAGATCCAATTAAAGCTAAAGCTGTTCGTAAGCAGACAGTCTGTTACTCAGCTGTCGGGTAAACTCTGCTTAAAGCTGACAGCAGCGGTGCTCCTGAGTTGCAGTGAGAGCTGCAGCATGTAGGGGGGGTCCAAAGCTTTTAATTGAATTTTTCTAATGTATCAGCTCGGACGCCGATGTGGTCCAATGTTTGCAACTTATACGAGAACTTTACAGTCTCTAAAATGTTCCTTATGCAAAGTTGGTCTTCTCTGCAGATCAGCCAACGTTTGCTGATTCATCGTCTGTGTAACCAGGAAACTACTGAAAGCACTCAGACTGGACTCTTTTAACCCT